CCATCTCACTGGTCCCTTTATTCTCAACTTGAGGGGATTTAGAATCTCCATAGAGACACTCCTTTGGGTGTGACTATGAGGGCATTTCCAGAAAGATTAAAGAGAAAGACCAATGCTGGATGTAGGTAGCACCCCCTGTGGGATAAAAGGAGAAAGTGAGTGGAACACTTTAATCCTCCCTCCCTCCTCCCCTCCCCTTCCCCCTCCTCCCTCCACATCCCCCCTCCTCCCTCCCTTCCTGTCTGTGGTTGCAATGTGACCTGCTATCTGCTCTTGCTATTGTATCATGCCTTCTCTGTCACCCCTTTCTTTTTTAGATTTTCTTTTAAATGTGCATTGGTGTTTCCATGGTTATGAGCTGCCATGTGGGTGCTGGAATCTGAACCCAGATCCTCTGGAAGAGCAGCCAATGCTCTTAACTGCTGAGCCAATTCTCCAACCACAAACACTCCATCCTTTCCTTTCCCTCCCCTCCCTTCCCCTCCCCTTCCCCTTCCTTTCCATTGTCTCCCCCCCCCACTCTCTTTTAAAAAAAGACTTATTTACTGTGTATACAGTGTTATGCCTGCATATATGCTTACACACCAGAAGAGGGCACCAGATATCAATATCAATATAGATGGTTATAAGACATGTGATTGCTGGGAATTGAACACATGACTTCTGGAAGAACAGCCAGTGCTCTTAACCTCTGAGCCATCTCTCTCCAGCCCAAACATCCTTTTCTTTAAAGTACTTCTTGTGAGGCATTTGGTCACAGCAAGGAGTAACTAATACAGACTGACACCTCAGACATGATCCTTCTCTTCAAGTTATTTGGTTACAATTATACAGAAGTAACTAATACAGTCAATGACCTCATCAAAGCAAGAAGGGAGGATCAGGCCCCATAGCCTGAGGGCAGCCCACCTTATAGACCAGGTACACATACTGTATCAGGCAGAAGGTAGACCTGTCTGTGGAGGTATGCAGATCTCCAGGGGGTCTTGAGAACAAAGCTCAGTGTTATAGAGTGCTGACCTAGCATGCACAAAGCCCTCGGTTCCATAGACTGCGATTCAAACGTGGTGGTGGAAACAGGAGACTAAGGGCTACCGGCCATCTTTGGCTACATTGTGAATCTGAGGGCAGCCCAGGATACAAAACAAAACAAAACAAAAAAATCTCCAGGGGAAACAAGACCACAGAACACAAACTTTCTCCAGTCTACTTCCTAAAATTCCCTCAGTCAGTAATGAAGATAAAGCTAGAGCCTAAGAGGAAGGCACTAACAACTAACCCATCCAGAGCCATCCTCACCCGGGAGATTTGTCCCAGCCATTCTCTGTTCTCTGGGCACATTCCACCCTGTCTTAGCTAGGCTTCCTATTGCTGCGACAAAACACCGTGACCAAAGAGCAAGTTGGGGAGGAGAGGGTTTATTAGGCTTACCCTTAGCATTGTCGTTCACTGAAGGAGTCAGGACAGGAACCCAAACAGGGCAGGCTCCCAGAAGCAAGAGTTCACGAAGAGGCCATGGAGGGAGCTGCTTTTTTGCATGCCTTGCTCAGCCTGCTTTCTTACAGAACCTTTCTTACAGACCCAGGGATGGCACCACCCACTATGGGCTGGATCTTCCCCCATTGATCACTAAATGAGAAAATGCCTTATAGCTGGATCTCAAGGAGGCATTTCCTCAACTGAGGCTCCTTCTTCTCTGATGACTCTATAGTTGGCACAAAACCACTAGGACATCCCCCAGTAAAAATTAATCACTCCTTCCAACTACTGTTTCCCCTTTGAAGAGAGTGGGGGTTTTGTTTGTTTGTTTGTTTTTCTAGACAGGGTTTCTCTGTATTTTTTTAGAGGCTGTCCTGGAATTTGCTCTGTAGACCAGGCTGGCCTCGAACTCATAGAGATCCGCCTGCCTCCTGAGTGCTGGGATTAAAGGTGTGCGCCACCAATGCCCAGCAAAGAGAGTGTTTAACATCTGCCCCCTCCCCCTCAAGACGGTCCCATTTAGTCCAGACTGACCTCAAACTCACTGTGGAACCCAGGATGACCTTGAACTTCTCATCCTTCTGCTTCCACTTCCCCAAAACACTGGGATGACAGACGTGCACCACTGGGTCAGAGTGGCATGGTGCCGGGGAAGGAAAATGCTGAGACACACCCCATGCTCCCCCTGCATTTGAGTTCTATATTTTGCATGGTGATAAATTAGGGTTTCTTCTCCTCCTCCTCCTCCTCCTCCTCCGAGACAGGGTTTCTCTGTAGCTTTGTTGGCTGTCCTGGAACTTGCTCTTGTAGATCAGGCTGGTCTCGAACTCACAGAGATCTGCCTGCCTCTGCCTCTGAGTGCTGGGGTTAAAGGGGTGTGCCACCAACGCCCGGCTCTTTTTTCTTCTTAATCTGCCTTTTCTCACTATATTTTCATAAACCTAATTATTAAATCTTCGGAAGGTGTGTATGTGTGAGTATGTATGTGAGTGTATGTGTGTGTGAGTGAGTGTATGTGTGTATATGTGAGTGTATGTGTGTGTGTATGTGTATGATCAGTGTGTGTGAGTGTGTTTATGTGTGCTTGTTTATTCTGCGACAGTTACTTAATAGAGCCCTAACTGGTCTGAAACTTGGGCAATCTTTCTCCTTCTGCCTCCCAAGTGCTGCAATTACAGGTGTGCAACACCTTGCTCAGCCTCATGAAATTCTTATACAATGTTTTATTCTTTATTTGGTTCCTGGAACCTCGGGGCTATTTCTGCCTACTGTGGATAAGGCTGCAGTTCTTACCTTTCACTGACCTTTCTGGGGCCACAGGCTAAAGTCTGACACTGGACCTCATGGCAGTTTATCACAAGGTGGCTCTACAGCCCGGCATGAATCATGGGTTGTATCACATCTCTTGGCAGAGGGATGAAATCTCTGAGCTGGTGTGGACCAGAGCTTAGAACCTAAGAACCTTGGCACAGAGCAGGATTGTGAGGCTACATTCTGTCCCCTGCGAGGCCCAGCCTGCCCAGTTCCTCCCTGCTCCCCCACATTCTCAATGGTATGACTCTGCCTCATTGGCCTTTGGGGTCACTCCTTCATGTCGGTCACTGCCTGTCAGCTGCTGGAGCGTAAGGGGGCTTTTCCTGGCCCAACCTCAGGCTCCCTCTGGCCACTCCTGGGCATCTTACGGGGACTAGCCATGGCCACGGTGCAGGAAGCAGGTATGAGGCCCTGGGCTGAGGCTCGGGAGGCCTGGCTGGGGAAGACTTCATGGGAGTGAGAAGGGTCAGGAAAAACAAGTGTTTTTTTTTTCTACGTTCCTTTATCATGCTGCCCCCTCCAATGTGTGTGTGTGTTACATACATGAAGTATATGCACATGTATCTGTGTCAGCCACAGAGGCCAGAGGACTTTACCTACTCTATTACTCTCCATCTTACTCTCTAGAGACAGGATCTCCCTGGAGCTAGGCTAGTGACCAGTAAGTCTCAGTGACTGTCTTAGTGACACTTCCATTGTTATGATAAATCACTATGACCACCAGGCAGTGGTGGCACACACCTTAAATCCCAGCACTTGGGAGGCAGAGGCAGATGGATCTCTGTGAGTTCCAGGCCAGCCTGGTCTACAGAGTGAGTTCTGGGACAGTCAGGGCGGTTACACAGAGAAACCCTGTCTTGCAACAACAAAACACCACAACCAAGCAGCTTATAGAAGGGAGAGTTTTTACTTAGGGGTATGGTTCCAAGGGTTGACAGTCCATCCTGGCATTGATGTGGCAGCAGGCAGTAGACATGGCAGTAGGAACAGCCTGCCCCCAGGATGTAATTTCCTACAGCAAGGCCACACCTCCCCAACAGTGCCACCTGGGGACCAAGTGTTCAAACACCTGAGACTGTGAGGGCCACCTCATTCAAACCACCACAGTGATCTTCCAGTCTCTGCTTGTCACAGCACTGAGGTGATATGCCTGACTCAACATGGGAATCTGGGGATTTGAACTCAGGTCCTCATGCTTTGTAGAGTTAAGTGCTCCTTCCTGCTGAGTCACCTCTCCAGCCCATGGTGTCCTCTTTTGTCAGAGACTCTCCCCACAACAATTCCCCAAGCTCACTTGTTTCGCAAAGCCAAGGCCCCATCACAGCACCATCTCAGATCCCCTAGTTCTGGGTGATGCTACAATACTAAAAATGGCTGTGAGAAAGACAACAGAATCTTTAGCCACCCCACACATGAAGAGACTCTAAAAATAACTTCCAGGTTGGTTCCTAGACATCCTTTTGGACCCAAAGTCATGAATTATTTGTCTCAATTGTGACTGGTCCTTGTCTGCTTCCACCCAAATCTGTGTTTGTCATCAAAATCAGTAATCGGTAATTGGTCACAAGTGTGCCTTCAGGTTCTACTTGGTGTCCTGCTACCATTGTAAATTAAACATAATAGAAGAAACCTATTGCAGCACTCTGGATCAAACCCTAGCCTAACATATGCTGAGCATTCTGATGGCTACACTTGCAGCCCCTCGCTGGGGGATTCTAGGCAGGTGCTCTACCAGTGTGTCACCCCCAGCCCCTCACTGGGGGATTCTAGGCAGGTGTTCTACTTGTTGATTTTACATCCTTTCCCTAGTAAAATAATTCTGTAAATCTAGATAACTTACTCTCTATCCCCTGACAGAGCAGACCTGTGGAGTTACACACTATTTCCCCCATGATACTATGTAACCACAAAAGAACTGTGATGCTGACAATTTCCTTACTTCTGTGTGGTCTTGATTATTGCACCCCCACCTTGAGATGTCTAACATAATACAGGCTGGCCTGGAATTCTGTGCTGGCTACTTTTTTTTTTTCAACTTGATATAAGCTAGAGTCTGAGAGGAGGGAACCCCAGTTGAGAAATTGCTTCCATAAGATCAGGCTGTAGGCAAGCCTGTAGGGTATTTCTTAATTAGTGATTGACATGGGAGGGCCCAAACCTTGTGGGTAGTGGTCCTGAGTGCTATAAGAAAGCAGACTGAGCAAGCCATGAGGAGCAAGCCAGTACGCAACACTCCTCTGTATCCTCTGCATCAGTTCCTGCCGCCAGGTTTCTGCCCTGAGTGAGTTACTGTCCTGGCTAACTTTGATCATAAACTGAAAGAAGGAAGAATTGTGTTTTATCACAGAAACAGTCACGCTGACCAAGGCCAACCTTCTTGAACTTCTACAGTGTCCTGTTTCCACTTCCTAAATAATGAAATTCCAGGTCTTACCCATTTTTGCAAAGCTGGGAATGGAACCCAGGTCTTCATGCATGGCAGATGACCTACACCCTTCCCCATTCTTTTTTTTTTAGTATGGGTGCACACATGTGTGGGTGCCCATGGAGGCCAGAGGGGGACATAGGATCTTGTCAAGTTGGAGTTTGCAGGTATCCGTGGGCTGATTGATGTGGGTGCTGGAATCCAAAGTTTGACCTCAGACAGCAGTAAATGCTCTTAACTGCTAACCCATTTCTCCAGACTCCCAGACACACAGCTTTGCCTCCACTTCATTCTGCAATTTTGAAAAACCAGACATGGCTTTTATGGAAAGACCCAGGCTTCCTCCTTCCTTCCTTCCTTCCTTCCTTCCTTCCTCCCTCCCTCCCTCCCTCCCTCCCTCCCTCCCTCCCTCCCTCCCTCCCTCCCTCCCTCCCTCCCTCCCTCTCTCTCTCTCTCTCTCTCTCTCTCTCTCTCTTCCCTTCCTTTTCTTTGTAAGATTTATTTATTATGTATACTGCTTTCTGCCTGCAAGCCAGAAGAGGGCACCAGATCTCATTAGAGGTGGTTGTGAGCCACCATGTGACTGCTGGGAATTAAACTCAGGACCTCTGGAGGAGCAGTCAGTGCTCTTAACCTTAGAGCCATCTCTCCAGCTCCGATCCAGGCATATTTCTGACCTAAAGTAGGAATGTACTTCATGGTGCCTGACCAAGACTGGAGTTTAGGAAAGAGAGATTTAAGTTCTCCTCTGTAGTCAAGTGGTCCAGGGCATATGACATGATGCCAGTGACATTTTCTATTCCTTTAAGGTAGGATCTCTCCCTATACCCAGGACTTATAGTTTTTTCTTTTAAGATTTACTTTAGTTTATATTATTTTGAGATAGTGTCTCACTGTGTAGCTCAGGCTGCCCTGGAACTCATTATAATTATGTAGACCAGGCTGGCCTCAAACATACAGAGATTTCGTCTGCATCTCCCTCCTGAATTTGGGATTAAAGGTGTGCACCACCATGCCTGGCAAGATTTATTTATTTATTTATTTATTTATTGGTTTTTCGAGACAGGGTTTCTCTGTGGCTTTGGAGGTTGTCCTGGAACTCGCTCTGTAGACCAGGCTGGCCTCGAACTCACAGAGATCCGCCTGCCTCTGCATCCCGAGTGCAAGATTTATTTATTTTATATGTATGTATGAGTGTTTTGCTTCCATGTAAGTGTGTGTATCACATGTATGCCTGGCACCCATGGAGGTTAGAAGGGGGTATCTGATCCCTTGGAACTAGAGTCATGGATGTTTGTGAGCCACCATGTGTGCTGGGAACTGATCTGGGGTCC